TGCACCAAGAGCTTGTAACACTCCAAAGAGAAAGGAAAAATTTAAATCGCATCATATGACCCCTTTAATGTAAATTACACACCTGCTCACACAGAGAAGTATGAAAGATACACCAGAGTTGCACTTGCATTAGTTTTACTAGTATAAAACTGTGGTTAATTTTCGTAAGGGGCCGTCAACAAAACCTTTTTGCCAAATGCATACATGTTCTTTAATATATTTTTATTCATGGTAATATGTGGGATTATTGTAATACCATTTCTAATAACTATTTTATGAAAGTCTTTGTCACTCTTGAAGTTGCCCATCGTGATCTAAAAGATAATTGAAAGTACCCCCACTCCCCCAAAACTACAGACCACTCAGTGAATCTCAAAAATTTCCACCACTGGTAATATGCTAACATTATTATTGTATTATAACGTCTTTCAGAACAGAAATATGGAAAAGTTGAAGGTGTACGAAACTCTCAGACAACAACTGGATAATGGTATGTAATGGGCTTTCTGTTGTATTAATTAAATTATATTAGATACAGTGTATCACCACATATACATGGTTGGGAAACTTCGGCTAGTTTTATTCACTTCTGCTTTGCCTGATTTGTAGATGAGATTACTCAAAAGGGCTTTGATGCCAGAGTAAAGGATGTATTGCTTGAACGTGGTGGAGAAGGAACAGGTATTCTGTTTTTTATCTTTACAGATTGGCAAGACTTATATTCATTGAATTAATTGTCTTCTATATACTTTTTTTTTCTCTTCAACATTCTAGAGACCAGCAAAAACAACATGGAAAATTTAACATGATTTAACAACACTTGGACCAACTTATTATTTCTCTTGTTCCAAGATAAAAAATGGCTCCCATGGAGTGGAAACCAAGAACTGCTAAAAAAACGGGAAGATATCAAAAAATCATCCTTGAAGAGGCCCCACAATGGATAATTGTCACAGGCAATGAGGGGTATGATGAGCTCCTAAAACATGGCCAGGAGACATTTTGGTCAGACGAGAGAGAGGGGAGTGTGTTTACTCTCTGCCAAGCAGATGGGACGAGGTGAACGAAGGAACAGTTCCATCAGGAATTTGGATCCGTGGCAGAGATCCCAAACGTCTGGAAGCTAACATTTTACACTGGACGTAGAGAAATGGGTATTGTAATGTTGAAATTACATGGCATGTGTGTGTTATATATTGGTTACTGTTGATAAAGCGCCAATTGTCGGAGATTTTAACATTCACGTTGATAATACAAATGATGCATTAGGACTTGCGTTTACTGACCTAATAAACTCTTTTGGAGTCGAGCAAAACGTCACCGGGCCCACTCATCGTTTTAATCATACGCTAGATTTAATTATATCGCATAGCATTGATCTTACTGATATAGATATCGTACCTCAAAGTGATGATGTTACTGACCATTTCCTTGTATCGTGCATGCTGCATATTACTGATATTAACTATATGGCCCCGTGTTATCGTCCGGGCAGAACTATTGTTCCAGCCACCAAAGACAGATTCACAAATAACCTGCCTGATTTATCTCAACTGCTCTGTGTACC